GACAGGATCTTACTATGCAGTTCAACCTGGCCTTGAACTCGCTATGTAGCCTAGGGTAGCCTCGAACTTGCATCGGTCCTGCCCAGACTCCCAAGTGCTGGGATTACAGGGTGTACCATCATACCCAGCTGTGGAGCTTTTTTAGCACAGGCACAGGAAGCTAATCTACTCACTAGACCTGGGCATCACACATTCTAACCTGACAATGTGATGGGCAAGCACAACCTTCCCATTCCAGCTAGAAAATGCACAGTGTTGTGCTGCTGGCCTCACTAAAGAAACAGGTCTCCCAGGGCCACCCTCCAAACCAATGCAGGCCCATCACCACAGTGCACTAAGACAGCAGTACCCAGGAGCTGGGATGCCTAAGCCCCATGGCCAGATGTGAAATGGAAAAGAGCCAGACCCCTGCACGCCACAGCTGGTCCTCAAAAACAGCTGAAAAGCAGAGTGTGAAAGGCCCCGACAGCACCCCCATGTTCCTGGGCAGGGCATCACCACCCCTACAACCTCAGCAACAAGTGCATGGGAGTTGGAAGATTCTCCAGGTCAGGCCCTGACACCCCACTTAATCCAGCATGAAAACACCGGAAACCTAGAGAAAGGGCCAGACGTGGTCCCACGCCTGCCTTACAACACATGAGACTACGGTACAATAAGAAGATAATCTTTCCCACATGGCCCAGGGTCCAGTTAATATCCACAGCAATATGCCAAGGTGGACCTAACTGGAAGTACACACAGATGGATCACAAGTCTAAACGTAAGAGAGAAGCAGAACTGCAGAAGAAACTGCAGAATATTTCCCATTACCTTAAGCAGTCAAAGACCTTAATGGACACAGAAGGTACTACCTGTAAAGGAAAAGACAAGCCAGACCTGGTGGCGTGTGCCTATAGTCCCAGTGCTTGGGAGGCTGAGGCAGAAGGATCTCTGTGAGTTCAAGGCCAGTCTAGGCTATCTACTGGGTTCAAGATCAGCTGGAACTACATGGGGAGACCCTGTCTCCAAAAAAGCGGGGGAAACCCCAAAAGCTGAACTTTATCACAGTAAGAGCATCTGGTCAAGGAAATGAAGTATATCTATGCTTGCAGTGCCTCTGTCAAAGAGAACTCATGCAGGAGATCAACCAATTCCTAGGAGTCGATTAGAAAGGAAATTGAATGGGAACTTAATAAGAAAAGCATTTTGTTTTTTATTGGTACTGGGGATTGAACTCAGGACCTTATGCTTGTGAGGCAGGTGGTGGCACCACTGAACTAAATCCCCGGCCCAGAGAAAGGCATATTTAAATGGCCAAAAATAATGAGAAGGTGAAGTGCAGATTACAACTAGAATGAACATGCCCACCAGACTGGTAAAAAGATCTGGAAATACCAAGGATTGGTAACTGGAATTTGTATTCACTCCCTTGGGGTGTAAATGAGTTATAGCCACTTTGGGGAACAATCTTAATTACTTTTTGTCATTGCTGAGACAAAGTACCTGACCCCCAAAGTTAAAGGAAGAAATGTTTATTTTGACTCATGTTATAGAGGTTTCAGTCTGAAATCTGCTGACTCCCAGGCAGGGTGGCATGCCAGCAAAGAGTCTCAGAGCAAAAGATGAGCACCAACAACAGTAAGCAACACACTCTTTCTGTCCCTTATATCTCACCCAGACTCCCTTAGGGCAGATAGCACACACACCCTTAATCCTAGCATTGCACTATGAATCAATCCCAGCATTGCACACTCAAGATCCAGCCCCACCTATGGCTGCATGAGGCTTAGGGAGGACATTTAGATACCAGCCATAACAGGAACCTTTTGCAATGTTTGCTGTGTGCCCCATAGAATGAATGTGTCCACCCCCAGCAGTGTGAGCTGGACATGGTCACAGAAGCAGCCCTGCTGGGAAGGACCAAGTGCCTGGCCTCCCCAACAGTGGGTCAGGAGCACAGTAGAGCAGAGTGACCATCTGAACAACGAGCCAAAGATGCCCACATCCTTGTCCCAAAGTCCTTCATTGCAAGAACTTTGCCGATTTGGTCAAGTATCTTGAGATGGAACGGAAACAATCCAGATACCCATCAGTGGGTGAATGGATAGAGAGAATGTGGCCATCTGTACAATGGAAGGTCATTTAGTGCACACTGGCTACAGTACTGTTGAGCCTTGAGGATATACTAAGGGAAATAAGTAATCACAAAAAGATACTCTAATCCACTGATAAGATCCATCCAAAGCAGTCCAACTCACAGAAACAAAGTAAATGGTGGCTCTGGGGGCTGAGGGCACTGCAGTCCAACAGCCATAGTTTCAAGATTTGCAAGAAGTGTCAGCCATGGTGGTACAGGTACTTTGAGAGGAATTTTAGGGGAACTGGACACAGTGGCACAGGACTGTAACACCAGCTTCTTGGGAGGCTAAGGCAGGAAGGTGGCAAGTTTAAGTCCCCCCGGCAATTTAGCAAGACTCTGTCTCAAAATAAAATAAGAACTAGGAATGTGGTTCAATGTGAAGGCCCTGGGTTGAATCCCCAGTACCACAAGAGAGGAAGCGTAGGGGGTGGCAGAGTGCTGCCCACACCCACAGGGCCCTGGTTCTGACCCCAGGAAGGTTGGTCTAAGATAAACTGAAGGGTAATAAAGATTCCAGGCAGATCCAAATACATCAGGTAAACCCAAACAGGTATCTTCTGTACAAAATTAGTTGCACTGGCATCTATTTTTGTGATTTAAAAACAGAATTGAAACAGCACAAGTGCTTTTAATATTTTGTATTTTTAGGGGTTTTTTTGTTTGTTTGTTTGGTTGTTTTTTTTTTTTTTTTTTGAGACAGGGTCTCACTATGTAGTTGAGACTGACCTGGAACTCACTTTGTAGCCCAGGCTGGCCTCAAGCTCACAGCGATCCTCCTGTCTCAGCCTCCCAAGTGCTGGGATTACAGGCATGCGCCACCATGCCCAGCAATATTTTGTATTTTTAAATTCAAACACTTGATCCAGTTGGAACTTGTTTTGATATAAGGAGTGAGGTAATTTCAATTTTACTTTCTCTAAATAGCTATTAAATGTCTAATGTTTTATCACTGACTTTTTTTTTTTTTTTTTTTTGGTACCGGGGATTGAACTCAAGTCCTTGCACTTGCAAGGCAGGTGGCAAAACTATTGAGCTAAATGCCCAGCCCATCACTGACTTTAAATGCCAATTTTTCTCATGGCATAGAAACATCTGCATCTCCATGCCTGCACTCATAGGTACATGTGTACACACACACACACACAAACACACAGGCACATACAAGGCACATGTGCACACACAGCACGTGTGCACAGAAGCATGTGTGTCTTACTTTTCTTGTTGCTAAGACAAAATAACCAATATCACAGGTTAAAGGAGGAAAGGTTTATTCCTGCTCACAGTTTTTTATTTTGTTTGTTTTGGGTTTTTTTGTTTGTTTGTTTTTTGAGACTGGGTCTCACTAGGTAGCTGAGACTGACCTGGAACTCACTATGTAGCCCAGGCTGGTCTCGAACTCACAGCGATCCTCTTGCCTCAGCCTCCTGATTTGGATTACAGGTGTGCGCCACCATGCCTAGCTCCTGCTCACAGTTTGTAGAGGCTTCCCTCCATAGCTGACTCCAATGCAGGGTGGCATGACAGAGGGGCATCAAGAGGAGAGCAGTCCATAGTATGGCAGGGAAGGTAGAAGGCAGTGAGCCATGAGCCTGCCTCTCCCTTTTATCCTTTCCAGGCTATCTGCCTTTGGGTGGTGCCATCCACACCCAAGGGTGGCCTTATCCACAACCAGAACTATGCTAAACCAGCAATTGGATGAATTTAGGAATCACACACCCTTAATCCCAGCATCAAATACCCTAGATCCAGCAACCTCTGAAAAGCCCCACTTATGACTGCATGAGGCTTTGGGGAGACATCTAGATATAAGCTATAACACACAGGCATACATGTATGCCACTATGCCTGGCCAGTCTTCTCTCTTACACATCTTGTTTTCTTCCTAGAGCCTAGAGATATCATTTATAAGAGGGTTTGTTTGTTTTGTTTGTTTGTTTGTTTTGCAGTTCTGGAGATTGAATCCAGGGTCTTGATGTGCTAAGCACATACTCTTCCATGGGTTTCTTTTTTTTTAAGGCAATAAAAGGAAGCTTTTTTTTTATTCAAAGGTATGACTGGATAGACAGACTTGTTTACAACCATTCTTGCAAAATAGTTTAAAATAATTATTACCAACTTCTTTGTAAACAGTAGAAATATCCCTCCATTCTCATGACCCTAATTTTTGGTGAGTAATGTACATGATTAGGCAGAAATAGGCAGGTTCACACCAGAAGATTAATTATCAAATGCTCAGTCAAAACTCCATTGGTGGCCTCCACTTCTTTGTTGATTTCTTTTCCCACTTTATCTTTACCATCTTGTAAACTTCTTGACCAACCTCCCTGCTGTCTGTTTCCTAATCAGCTACCAAATTGACCATCTGCCTGGCCAGATCTGCCACTTGACCAGCCACTCTTCTGAAATTAGATGATATATTTCCATTGTAACATTCAATTTCAGGTCATTTGGGTGCCACTGAGAATATCCAGTCTTATCCTGTAACCTTTCTGACTCAGTTGTAGTAACATCAAAGAAAACCCCAAACTTCCTTTTAGGAGGAATATTCTGATAATTTGGGGTACAGCACTCCTACTTAGCTTTCTGTTCAGTTCTTTCTAAGCACAGCTGACGTCCTGCATTTCTCCTGGGCTTTCCAGAGTATTGGCCACCAGTCCCTTAGCAGAGGTGATCAAATGATGTGGTTCAAAGCTTGATGAAAGGTGGCCTAATGCCGCAGCCAGTATGTCCAGTGCTGCTTTCTCTTCTATCACTCTCTGAGCTGATGGTCAGAAAAAAATCAACTATATCATAAGAAACAGAAGCCAGAGACCCAATGGCATCCACGCTTTTAGATCTAAGTCCATTGTAGAAGGAACACCTACACATTTAAAAGGAATTCCTGCTTTTTTTTTTTTTTTTTTTTTTTTTTTTTTTTTTTTTTTTTTTTTTTTTTTTGTACTGGGGATCAAACTCAGGACCTTGCACTTGCAAAGCAGGTGACAGAACTACTGAACTAAATCCCCAGCCCCAGGAATTCCTGCTTTTTGGTCCACACATCTTAAGTGACTATTTTCTCTTGGTTGATAAAAACATATGCAAATCTCTGTCCAGTCGGCTCTTCCTGTGCATCTGGAGTGGTGGGTGTAGGACCCAACGTCCTCTGGAGGAGAACTTTAAACAGCAGGTCAAACTCATGAATGTCCAAACCACAGGTAGCCACATTAGTGACCACCAAGAGTTTAAAACTACTTCTCTGAAGCCTTTCAATATAATTTCTCTTTGTGACTGTGTAATGCCCCCATGTAGACACTAGGAATTCTGTTTTATATGTTTTATTAATGGCCATTTCAGTTACATTCTTCTTGGTCTCACAGAAGATAATAGCCCACCACAGACCCACCACATACTTGGAGAATGTTTCCATTAACTGCTGATCTCTGAGACCAGTGGCACTGGATGGCCAAATGTTCCTCACGAGTTGCAGCCTTTTGAGCCATTTTCTCAACAAGGTGAATGCATTCATACCTGGATTATATAATTTTTTGCAACTTTATATACCCAATGGGCAAGTTGTACAAAAAAGTAAAGTCTGAGGATTATATTCAGAATAAATTTTGTGGGGTTCATGGATAAGACGTTCAACTTGTTCAGCAAAACCTAAATCTAACATTTGATTGATTTAATCAAGTACTACATGGCACAGTTTAGAAAGATCTAAACAACTGTTTTTGATATGACCAAGGGTCCCAACCTAGATGTCAGTACCTTCTGAATATGATTAACTTGGGTTTGATGTGATATTCCACCATAAAAGGCCAGAGTGAGTTCCTATTTATATCTTTGAAGTATTTGGCTACTTGGTTTGCTAGTTTTCTTGTTGGAGCCAAAACAAATATCTTTGGTAAGTAGCTTTCAGAATTGTTCCTTTATTTCTTTGGAGCCTTTTAATCAAGAATATGGCAAAAGAGAATGCCTTTTCTGTTTCTGTCTGTTCTTGAGCAATTAAATCTTTCCTTCAGTTTTTTTTTCAATTTTTAAAATTAATTTTTTGGTACATTTTAATCTTTCCTTCCATTTGACCCAGCTATTTCCCTTCTTGGTATCTTCTTTAAAGAATTAAAATTATCACACCACAGCGATATATGCTCACCCATGTTTATAGTGGCACAATTTGTAATGGCTTAATCTTGGAAACAGCCCAAATGCCCATCAAAACATGAATGGATAAAGTTTTTTCTTGTTATACAATTGAGTACTACTTGCCATAAAGAAGGATGAGCTTGAAGCATTTCTAGCTCGGTGGATATACCTTGAGACCATACTCTTAAGTGACACACATGTTTAAATACCAACAGAAATTGGAGAAGATTCCTTCTTTCTATTCAGAAGTTAGTGTCTCCTCTAGTTAGTTTATTATCACTTGATTTATGAGACCTTTCTAAGATGACACCCATGGTGATTTTTTTCTCACATTCTCCATACCTCCGTTTGATAGATCCTTTCTTCTTGATTTATGAGATGTGGAAAATTCATCTGAAAGTCTGTGAAATCCTTCTTCAGTGTTTCCATTTAGCTCCTGTTTCATTTTTGCTTTGGGGGGCTTGGGAGCATCCAGGTCACCTGTAGCATCATTTTTTCTTGTTTCTGATGGTTTCTTGATTTCCTTCTATCACTCCAGCATTAGGTAGTGTGTTTTCAGCTTATCTTGTTTATATCTGCATAGCCACTCTGTCTCTCCTTCCTTTGGCTCTCAAATTCTTCCATGGGGCTCCCGTGGAACTCCTAAAGGAGTTTTTCAGAAATTACTGGACACTGCCACCTCCCTCTGGGCACAGTGGCTACTACCGGCAGTGACTGTGAAAGGAAATGGGAAGAGGGCGGCTGCCCAGTCAGGGCTGTGCATCACTTCCCTCTTCCATAGATTTATTAAAATTAAAATTATTTCCATGTTCAATAACCAAAAGCTGATCCTAAATGACTATCCTGATAACAAAATATTTGCTCTTTCAGTAGACAGTTTCATACACCCACGACAATACAGCAGCTCACTTACCGTCCTTAATGCTTCCTGACCTTTGAGAGGCACAGGCCTGAGGAGGAGGAATCTGTGCAATGAGTGGCTGTTGAGGCAGCTGCTGAATGATGGTGGCAGGAGGCTGGGGGACCTGAGTAGAGCCAGATGATGAGCTACCTGAGTGCAGCCTTGGAGACCGTGCTCTACTACCCCATCCACTCCTCCTTCCATCCCTCCCCCATTCACCCATCCACTTATTCCTCCACAAACACACATCCATCTACCTTCCCATCATCCACCCACCCACATGCTTACCCGTTCCTCCACCTCCCTATCTATCCTGCCCTCCTTTCCACTCATCCATCAGCCTATCCCTCCACCATGATACTTTCCTTTCTCCCTCCACTCATCGATGCAACTCATACATCCATTCCTCTACACGTCCGTCCTTCCCTTTTCCCTCCACTCATCTATCCACTCATCCATCCCTCTGCCCATCCATACATCCCTTTCTCTTACTCATCTATCCATGCATCCATTAGTCTGTCCATCCACCTACTTACCCACCTTTACATCCACCCATCCGTCCACCTGTCCCTCTGCCCACCCATCCCTCTGCCTACTCATCCATCCACCCACCCACTCATCCAGCTTTTCATCCACCCCTCCATCTACTTACCCATTTATCTACCCATTCACCCATTCCTCTACCCATTTTTCTCCCCATCTATATATTTAGTCATCCATCCATCCATCCATTGAAGGAGAACTTTAAATTATTAACACCAAAGGTTGAATAAATTGTTGACTAGAAAGATATTCGAGTCTGGATGTCTGGATGTACATAATATTTTTAGTGATTCCCACGTTTCTTGTCTTCAGCAGGGTAAGATTATGTCTGGTTTCATTTTTGAAAATCTTTAGTAGGCCTGGGGATCTAGCTCAGTGGTGCCACCGCCTGCCTCTCAAGTGCAAGGTCCTGAGTTCGATCCCCAGCACCCCCCCCCCAAAAAAAAACCCTTCAATATGCACATTTAACACTTGGTATAGGCAGTCATTTTGGAAGGGTACAGTGGTATTTCACTATGGTTCTCAATTGCATTTCCCTAATGACTAATTATGTAGGGACTCCAGGGCAAACCTTGCATCTAATGGCTGAATCATCTGATAGATGCTCACATTTCTGTCTCAGTGACCTGTCTATCCTGGCACCAATACCAACTTGACCAATTGCTGTGGCTTGTTCATGCTCTATAGGAAGTGTATGGCACTTGTGAGCAGAATTTCTAGCTCCTTTTCTGAGTGAACATAAATGAGCAGTAATTTCCAGAAAACAGCAGAAATACCTGAGTTTTATTTCTTTTGGTGCAGTGCTGGAGATGGAATTCAGGAGTGCTCTACCAATGAAATACATCTCCAACCCTTTGAATTTTGAGACAGAACCTCGCTAGGTTGCCCAGGCTGGGTTTGAACTTGTAGTCTTCCTGCTTCATCCTCCTGAGTAGCTGGAACTAGGGGTATACACCACCACACCCAGCCAAAATCTGTATCAGTCCTCTTCTGGACATGCAAGTCTAGCGTGACCTTGTCTCCATTGACAGAAAGAATGGCATAGACCAGAGGCTGGTGAGTTTTTCTACAGAGGTCCAGGCAGTAAATTGCTTAGACTCATGGGCCACACAGGCTCTGCTGTGGCCTGGCTGGATGTCCTGTTGTGGACCACAGTGGCCACAAATGGATACTGCTGACTTGAAGAGCAGCCACAGGCAGATGTGAACACAGGGTCCTGGTCCCACAGAACTTCATGAACATCGAAATGTTCATTTCTCATCATGTTCATGTGTTACATTACAAAATATTACTGTTTTTATTTCCCAAACATTAAAAAGTGGAACTGGGAGGAGGATCACAAGTTTAAGCCCAGTCTAGGCCACTTAGACCCTGCCCTCCAAAAAGGGCTGGGAATGTAGCTCAGTGCAAAAGTCCTGGGTTTTCAACCCCATTACTGAAAAACAAAAACAAAAAACAACCGGTACCGGGTGCAGTTCAGTGGTAGAGCACTTGTCTAGAATGCCCAAAGCCCGGGGTCTGATTCTTAGCACTGCAAAGCAAATGAACATGAAACCATCCTTGTCTCTCAGGGCTAAAGCCAGCCTCTACCCCTGGCAAGGACAGTGAAGTGTTCCTGAACCTCTGCATCTTTCCTGCTGCCAGGACTTCCAGCCTCAGGGTCTCCAAGCCAGCCCTGGGGTGTTTACCAGTGCCTAGGGCCTTCTCGCCTCAGGCTAACACTGAGAAATGTAGGTATGATGAGTCTGATAAACCTGCAGGGACACAGCCCATCCACAAGAGGGAACCTGGGGGCCCCACTCGCACAAGTTCCTAAGGCTACCCCTTCCCAGTCTGTTCCTTGGCCAGGTGCTGCTACTGCCAGCATCACTCGCCAAAGGGTAAGTGTCTTCCATGTCACCAACCTACCCCAGAACCTCCTCCAGTTGCCCGCCCTCTCTTTTCACCAAACACTCTGCACCCCATTACAGTGAGTCCCCCATCCTCACCATGCTAGGTCTGGGCTTCTACCTCTTCTATGCCTGGGCCTCTTACTGCTCCCTTGTATTTAAGAAGTCAGTTGTTTTCTGTTGCTCATAACCCATAGTGCTGAAAACTATGGGAAGCTCTTGACACAATAACACTGTGTCACTCTGCCTTTGGTGTTAGGGTCTCAGCAGCCCTGGTCCTTATGAAGTTATGGAATGAGAGGTTGTGTTTCCCTGAACGCAGGGCCCTGGTCCCACCTATCAGGATGCCGGGGATCTGTGTGCCCTGAGGACTGACCAGCATGCCCAAGTTGTATCATGGCCGTTGCACCTCTGAGTGGGCTCTTGTGCTGCAGGAGCCTCAATGGGAAGTGGTAGGAGATTCTGGCAGCACAGCCCCCATAGTGAGGTCTGTCTTTCCCAACAGCACCCCCACCAAAGCTGATGTTTTCATCTGGCCCTTCTTACCTGGTGCTGGATGATTCTCAGTTGCTCTGGGGCTGGCAGGGGTGGGGAGGCAGTAGGATAGATGCCCATGGGGGGTGCTTCTGGGAGCAGGGCTGGTCCCAGAGCCCCTCCACGGGCCCCCCTCCAGGTCTGGGCCGAGGGGCACTCATCCAGGAGCTGCTGTTCCTGCAAGGCCAACAGATCCTGTGCACCTAGCAAGGCATGGTGGGGAGGTCCCTTGGACCTGAGCACCAAGCTGTCAGCCTACCCAGGGCACAGGAGCCCTTGATGCTCAGACCGTTGGCTCAGCCCAGGGCTATCTAAACTGAAGCCAGGACCCAAAAGCAGGGTCAAAGACCCTGTGTGCCCCTAGGGGAAATACATACCACTGCTTTTAAAATTTATCAAATAATTTAAACAAGTTTCTGGTTATTGTATTCCCTCAGCCAATGGAGTCTAATCACTCTTTCAAGCATGAGGTCCCTGGCCAGATAAGGAGCCAACCTGCTGCCACACAGTGCTGGGTAACAGATGAAGACTACTTGGCCACAGACCCTTCTTGCTGCAGGTCAGGTTTGTTTGGATGAAGCCCTGACACCCTACAATCAGACTTCCTGTGAGAGCTGCACCTTTCTCGATATTGCCACCTCCTTCAGTGTGTGTGCCTGTGTGTGCCCAGCAGACTCCTTCTGGGGAAGTGACTACGGTGTCCCCATTCACTGTTCAGCTGCCCAACCTGACTCTTGGCATGAAAAGATCAGTCCCCCGCACCCAAAAGGCCTCCCGGGCCTGTAGCCTCAGTAAAGTGGGTCTCCACTGCAGTGAGCTTTGCCCAGGTCTGCTTGAGGTATGGGCTCACGTAGGGAATCAGGGACCCACCTGGGGATGGCCACATTTAAGTCCTGCTTTTGTTGAAAGCACTGGCTCTTTACTTGCTCCTGCAGATGCCAGTGGGTAACTAAAAGCTGGATTGCACTTGGCATCTCTACCTTCATTTCGTATCTGTTTTTTATTGCCTTAAGCTCTTGGTCAGATCCCTGCTCAGCTCTGCACATAGGCCTCTTAATCATGTAAGGAGTGTCTCTCTAAAAACTGGTGATTCAAGGTTTATTTGATCGAACTTTACCTAACCTACTTCACTTTTCTTCAAGACTGAGGACAGCAAGATAAGAGTAACTAAGATTATTTTTAAGACTCGAGGGGCCATTCAAGTGCCTGCTTTTACAGTGTCCTGTCCCAGGCCCCCAAAGCAGCACCTGGATGCCTCTCGCCTTAGCCTCTCATCAAAAACCCAAACCCACCTTGGATTCCAGCAGAGCCTCACAGACAGACCACCCATGGCATGACTTTCCTCCAAAGCAGAGCCAATTCTGCGTTGGATCTGGATCAGCCTCTCCAGCCACAGGACCTCTCCAGAGCCAGCTCACAGAACCAGAGTCCTGGTCATGATCAACTTGACCTTTGCCCACCCGTGCACTCCAGGAAAGCTGATTCCTCGCCTTCCCTAATGTCAGTTCAGTCTCTGTCAAACCTGGGCCCCTTCAGCTCTTCTCAATCTGGAGTTGCTGTCACATTTTCTTTTCCTTCTCAGTTAAAAGCTTTGCCTACGTCTTGCATATTTTTTGGCCTGGTTTTCAATTTCTGTTATTAACTAGCCACCCCCCGACACCATGTGATATCACCTGGAGGACAGGGGACTTGGGGTACCAAGGATATGAGGAGGGGTTATGAGGGACTTTGGGATCCTAGGGGGAGCATGAGGTGAGCCCAGGGTGTGGAGACTACCCAGAGTTCCAGGTCTACCCTCAGGGTACAAGGCCTTACCCAGGGGCATGAGACCTGGCATGGGGGGACAGGGCTTGGGAGGCATGAGGTGTGGTGGGGTTGGCCTGCCGGGGTTGAGAGGCTTGCCTGATGCTGGGCCTACCCGGAGTCTCAGCAGAAGCTCCCTCCTCCTCCGAGCGCTCTGCAGGGCCTCATCCGGCCTGTCGTTGTGTCCTGAAGGAAGCACATTCCTTGCCCACTGAAGAAGGCTCCAGGGAGACCCAGAGCCTCCCAAAAATGCTCATGAGTGCCATGGTAGGAAAGGGCACCTTGGGGAGTCAGTCTGATCAGTGGGGCAGGGCCCTCTGGGCCTGGGTGCTGAGGCTCCTGCCCCCTACACTCAGGGCAGCAGCAGTGCCCCAAGTGCTGCACCTGAAAACATGGCTCTCCTTGATGGAGGGAAGGCCTTGGAAGGGTCTGGTGGCTCTAGGCATCTACCAGAGCTGGGCCACGGGATTGCTCCTGGTACAGATGTAGCCTTAGTTGCCCCTCACTGGCCCTGGGTCATATGGCCATGTGTGCATTGCTCCACCGGAATTTAGGTCCCCATGCTGCACACCAGGCTCTCAGAGCACCAGATCCTAAAGAACAAGACCTCCTTATTTCCTGTTGCCCCAACCTCCCTGAGCCTAGATTCAGTCACCAGGTAATAATGAGGACCAGACCAAACCCCACCTGACCCTGGGAGTTCAGAGCTCTAGAGTCAGAATGGTGTAGTCTGACCAGATGGGACCACTCCCCTGTTTACCCACAGAACAGGATGGGAACACACTCTCTCTAGGCCTTAAAGAAACAGAGTAGGGTGTCTGTGAGAACAAAAGTCTTCTTGCTCTCAGTGAGGAGGAAGCGTTTTGGGGTGGAGGTATTTCCCAAGGGCTGCCACCTCTACTGCCCCTGCTGGCTGTCCCACTTCTGCCTATGAGGGTCTATGTAGCCTGGGCTCCTACCTGATACCAGGTGGGTGACCTCAGAGCCCCCTTCCACGTTCTCTCGCTCTTGCTCCAGCTTCTGTGAGGAACAGAGGCTGTGACAGTGATGTTGGCTGTGTGGCCGTTGCCCAGACTGCCATGCTGGGGACAGGAAGCGTGGGTGAAGTGGGAGGCAGGGGCTATGCTGGTTGTGTGATCAATGTAGCAAACATCTCAAACACAGTGGCTGCTGAAGAGCACCCTGCTCACCACCACCAGGCCCTGGACTTGGGGCCACAGTTGGTGGAGAGGAGGAATGAAGGTGGGTGACACAGAGAAGGCCTGCAGCTCCCAGACCACCCAGAGCCCAAGCAGGGGAAGAAGACAAAGCAGGGTGTGGGAAGGACCGGGCTCAGCCTTGGGGCTGTGTTGAATGCCAACTTTGGAAACCACTAAAAGAAACTAATTTGTACTAAACACATGCAAAGAAACAGAAAAAGCACATTTCATTATGAGACTACAAACCACTGGAAAGGATTGCTTTAGAAGAACACGTTCACAGTTTATAGACAGATGCAACTAACTTTGCCTGGCACCTTTATCTCTTAAACTCAAAGCTGAGCAGCATCCAGGAGTTGTACCTGTTCCAAGAGCCTCAGTGTCAGCCGGGTCATTTGGTCTGCCACCGATGAGTCCAGCATTGTGGGGTCCTCTGAGGTGGCTGCAGAGAGGCAGGAGGCCCACACACTCGCTAGTGCTCAGTGGTTCTAAGTGGGAGGACTCTCACTGTCATGGCAGGTTCCTCTGTGTAGGGTTTAGCTAGCCTCCTGGAAACCAGCCTTGGAGACAGTGAGTGCCAATGCACAGGAGGAGGTATGTCCCTCTCTGGATTGCAAGGTCAGGAGCACGGGAGGCCTGGTTGCTAGGTTTCCACTGAGTCCTTCCTGAGCTGCGTCTCTGGGCTCTCTGTAAACACTGATCAGCAGGTGTGGATAGGCAGGGTGAACTGGAGGCAAAGGGGTGAACACTAGACTCCTGGCAACACCCACCTCAGGACCAAGCCTGGAGAGAGGTGGGGAGGAGGCCCTAACTATGGCCTCTGCCCCTCATGGGGACCCTTAGAGCTAGTAGTGAAGGACACAGTTGGATACTGGGAGGACCGTGGGAGGGGTGCTTGTCAAGGACAGAAAGGAGGGGCCAGGACGGGAGGCACATGGGGAGACCCACCCCATGGCCAACAGCCAGCAGCCAGAACCTGGCAGGACACCAGCCCTGCTCCAGGTGGGGATAGCTCTGTGTTGATCTGGGCCAGAGATGGGAAGAGAATAGTTCTCTCAGGGAGACGCTTGGGCTGCATGGTGGAGCAGATGAGGACAGAAGGAGGAGGTCACGTATTGTGGTTCTATGCTGCAGAACGGCAAAGGTCAGTCCCACTGAGGAAGCAGATGAAGCACAGGAAAGGAACCCAGCAATGGAAGTAGCTGGGAGTTGGGCCAGCATGGTAGGCTTGAGTGGCACCTGGAACCCAGATGATCCCACATCAGACCAGACATTGGTTTCAGAGTCCCACAAATCGTATTGGCATCTATGGTTCCACACACTGTGTGATTCTGAGAACTTCAGGCATAGGAATGGGGCAGAGATGGCCGGGTGCCCTGATGGAGTCCTCAGAGCCGCTCCTACTGGATTTGGTGCAGCCCAACCACTGGGCCTGGAGGGTGGGCCTGCCACAAACGCTGCATCCATTCCTTTGCTACAACAGAGGCCTGGCCCTGCTCTCCTGTCATCCCACCTGTCTTGCCTTCTGCGGGTAGGGTCCTGGGATCCTCACTGACACCACAGGCCCAGCAGACACAGCTGGTCTAGATGCTAGTGTGTGTCCACAGCCTTCCTGATGCTGGTGGTCTTGAGACATAAACAAGAGGTCTGATTGTGCACAAAATGTGCTAAATTAGTTTAGTTAAGCAACTAAAGGCAGCTAGGAGACAAGCCTCAGTGGGCTAACACCTTCCACTGGGCATGGGTTTCAACTTTTATTTATGTTGCCATTAGTGGTCTTGAACTCATGGGCTCAAGCGATCCTCTAGCCTTAGCCTCCCCTGCAGCACACACTATTGCATCAGAGAAGTGTTTTGTTTTTGTGGTACTAGGGTTTGAATCCAGCTCTTTACACTGAGCTATATCCCCAGACCTTTTTTATTTATTTTGAGACAGATGGTCTCACTAAATTTCTAGGTTGCCCAGGTTGGGCTCAAAGGTGAGATCCACCTACTTCAGCTTCCCAGAGTGCTGTTGTTATGCTTTGGGTCTAGATGGCCCCCAAATCCTCACACAGTCATAGGTGTGGGACATTTTTGGAGGTGGCTGAATCTAGAATGTGTGATGCTGGGATTAAGGGTGTCTGGTTACTAATCCACTACACATAAGTGATTAGCTTGGTATTGCTCTAATCTGGGTAGTCTGGATGGGCAAAATGGGGCACAGAGACACTGTTAAGGTCATTTGTTGCTTTTGCTGTCTTTTGCTGCCATGAACTGTTGTCCTTCTGCCACCCTGACTTGGAAAGAGCCAATTATGGACTGAAACCTCTATGAGCTATAAGCTAAATAAACTTTTCCTTCTTTAACTTTGAATGTCAGGTATTTTGTCTCAGAAACAAGAGAAAGGTAACTAAGACAGCCATGTGCTTCTAGTCACACTCCAGCTAAGGAGATAGCATCCTTTTTACATTAATACCAACTGTGATGCCACTGATGGTGGTGAGGGTAGAGAGAATTGTTCTTCTCCAAAGTAACTTCTAGCCAAAGTAACTCCAGCTTGTAGCAGCTCCTACAAGGTGCTGAGGCTATGTGCCACGCTGCAGTACAACAGTCACCCACTGGTGTGGCTGGACACACCATGCTGAGATTGACAGTTTCCTGGTAAGAATAGGGTGGGATGGAGTTACATGTAACTTTTCTCAAGTTTTCTACTCTCTGGTCTGCTTTGCTGTTTAATTAGAGCCTCATAGGACCAGTAGCTTAGCAAAGACAGGCTGTTGACTTTTGTGGTGCTGTAGCCCATAAGCTGCCCACTGTGTTGTAACTCTTACTGAACTCATTTACTCACCAAGCTGGGCGTGGCTGAGTCATTCTTTGGACTGTTGATGCCTTTTCAATTTGGAGGTAGAGGTGTCTTTTAAGTCCTTCTGGGAAATTAAAGAAGCAGTGAGGAAAGGGAAAAGGAGACTAAGGCTATTAAATTCACCTGTCTCCCACCTGGGCCCACATGATGCATCCAGCCTGGCAGTTGTGCTGAGTGACATGAATGCTTTGGATGGAAGTCAGTAAGTCAGCATATCTATATATGCTTCCTATGATCCTGACTGCAATAAGAATCTGAATGCTCATCAAACTGGGCCATGACATTGCTTGCACATCTTGTCATCTGGCTTGCACCGAGTAGAAGCCAAGGAACGAGTCATAATTCCGTGACACTTCAGACTCCCACAATGACCATATAGAAAAGCCACATGAAAATTCTAAGTTTATTTTTAGAGCAGTTTTAGATTCAAAGAAAGTTGAGTACAGCACACTGCATTATGAAAAACCATTTGCTATCTATGCGGAAGACCCCAACAGTTCCTCCTCTCACCAGGAGAGGCTGTTTTGCCCTCTCCGTGATGGAAATACTCCATCACTGGCACTGCACCCTCATGAGACCAGGAAGGCTCTTCAGCCGGAGCAGACCTCCTTCCGAAGCCCTAGAACAGATACATTCCAGGCTCCTCAATTTCCTCATCTGGGCAAGCTTTGTGACAGAGGCTGCAGACGCTTAAAGGCTGGAAAGAATACATGGGCCTGGGAAGGCCCTCGGTGGCTTCCTGTCTCTGGAACTCTAGTACCGGCAGGGCCGCAGTCCTGCTCCTGAGGGAATAATTCCAGGCTGCCCCTGGCTTTTGGCTCCTTGGGTCCAGGAATCAGTAGGCAAAGGGACAGTGTGTTGGCGGGGCCAGGACGGAGTCTCAATGATTCTGCCAGGAGCTGTCTGCAAATGCGGAATAGGCGATCCTGCACCAGGCCTACAGGCCTGGGACGAGGTCTGGGGGGGGGTCCTGCTAAGGCGCCGAGGCATCAGCCAGTACGCGGTGGGGTGGTGGTGTTGGGGAGTGGGGTGGCTGTGGGTGGGTGTTTACAATCAAGCCAGACGCTTGGCTAGCCTGGCTAACCCCGCCTCGTTTCCCCCAGGTTTCGCGTGTACCCACGTGGACCGAAACCAGCGGTCTCCAGCAAGCAGAGCCTCTACAGAGGAGGCCTGGCCGGAGAACAGCAACGCGCGTGAGCCCAGCCAATTTGCCTGTGGGAGGGCGTTCGACAGCGCGGAACAGCGGCGCGAACAGTCTGTGGAGTACCGGCCAATCACAACGAGCCCCGGGCACACCGTGCTCCTTTTATTGGTCCTGCTTGAGAGACCGGTACGTCAGTCAGCCAGTCAGAGACTGGCAGAGCAAAGCTCCGCCCGGGACACGTCTACCTAGCACGCATGCTCTAGGAACACACGGCCTTCGATTGGACGCGCTGCGGGGCGGGACCACAGAGCTGACAGTTGTCGGCGGGGAGGGCGAACGGGAGAAGGGGAGGGAGTGTAAATAGACTGAGGGCGGTGTCGCGTCGGCTCAGCCACCTCCAGACTACTCGTGAGGAGTCCCAGAGATGGAAGAAGATGAGCAAGAGCAGCGACGCAGGAAGGTGGAGGCCGGGAGAGCGAAGGTAAACAGCGCTTGCCTCTTTCTCGCGCTGCTGCGAATAGAAGTTCTCGGGGTAGCTTTCGTGCCCGGTACCGCCGCCTGCCAGCAGCGGACGCGGTTGTGCTGGGGCAGCCGCTGAGGCCCTGTATTTTCCGCTGGCTCTGCCGCTGGTAGCCCCCCTCTCGGCCGCCGCCATCTTGAATCCGCCGCCCTCGCTCCGGGCCCGCCCCCGCCGCTTACCCAGCCAATAGTCGGCCAGGATGCGCGTCTCCTCGCGGGCAGCCAGGCGGTGGGCAAACGCGCTGTGGAGCTTCGGGGGCGGGACTGCACCTGCGCAGTGGGCTTGGTGTTGGCTGCATCTCGGCGTTGAGCGGTTTTGGATCCCCCGGGTCACTTGTCCTTCGTGCCTTTTAGAGTTGCATTTTCTTAGGAGTTCCAGGTCTTTCATCTATGAGAGATCCCTACGGTTTTCCTGGAGCTGCACCCACACGCTCCGCTCGGCTCTTCGGAGCTCAGGTCCTGGAGTTCGGTGTACTAGGGGTGCTCTTGTCACCTTCCTCTGACCTGATTTTTAAACTGAAGAAAAATTATTCTGTTTGGTACTCCCTATCCTGGAAGCAAGAGGGCGCGATTGAGAGAGAGAGAGAGAGAGACAGAGAGAGAGACAGAGAGATAGAGAGGCAGAGAGGCAGAGCTGGGGGCAGAGGGAGAAAGAGCGAGCCTGAGTGAGCGAGCGCCTGGGCACTGTGGCCTTGCTCACTGGCTGCAAGATCCCAGGAAGGTTCCTGCCGAGGACTAGCAATCTGCTGTATTGATTTTGTAGATCAGCTAGGGGGAGGCATTCAGAGCTCTTTCCTTGGGTCAACCTAGAGTCACTGCCTTACAGAAATATCCAGAGTACATAGTGATGGATGGGTATGATGGTGACAGGATAGCAGTGTCCCCTGGCAGGGCGACAGGCTGAGGACAGAGTGGCCTCGTTTCCGATGGCAGGTGTAAAGACAGGCTGGCTGCCTTGTTCTTCCCACACATACACAGACCAGGAGATGCAAATGAGTCTAGCCAGACCTTGGCACTTGGATTTGAGTAACTAGGCCCCGAGCCTGTGTGTGGTTTGTAAATAATAGAAGATGTGCTTGAGGGAGATGGAGGGTTGATGAGGAAGAGTCAAACACCACCAGTTGAGTGACAGCAAGACCCCAACGTGCAGCAGACGGGACCTCAGTCATAGGTGATAGGATTTGATGGAGGAGGGTCCTAAGATCAGTGAAAATGCAACATAGCCAGATTCAGTCTCAAAATAAAGAAAAAAAGGGTGGCAGACTAGGGTTATAGCTTAGTACCAAGGCTCTGGGTTCAGTCCCCAGTACCATACACATACAAGAGAAAAAGGAAATGGAATTGACTTTGAAGGCAGTGTCCTCCAGAGGTATTTTTCTCTGTCCGGGCACAGCTGTTTCTATGGCCGGGCACAGCTTTTTTTGGTCCAAAGAATTGTGCACTTCTGTTACTTGTACAAACCTTTGTCAAGCACATTTGCTTCTGTGGCTGTAGTTTTCATTTCAAGGAATAGACATACCTCTGTGAAAAGCTGGTGTTCAATCTCATACTTTGAATAAGGTTTTAATGGGAGATGGTGCATGAACAAGGTTGCAAAACCTTGTATTTGAGGGTCTGACAGAGCTAGGTTGTGCCTTCTGATGGGAGACAGTTCTGTGGAGGTCCCTGGTGCTTTGTTGAGCTGTGTCATGAAAAATAGAACATCTGATTCCATAAAGGAGATGTTAGATTGACCTGGCTTAATTAATTTTTTGCTATTTCTGTATCTTGTCTCAGAATCTATGGCTAGGAAGTTTTGGCTGGGTGATATATTTCCTTGATTAGGGGAAAATGGCAGGAAGGGAACAGTTTAACTTTTTATCCAATTTTAAGCTTTAACTATGCCTGATTAAGCTTTCAGCATTTTAAATAGATTTTTTTTTAAATTTATTTTTCTATAAACTGCCAAGGGTTAGAAAACCTATTTTGTCAACTAGCTATTTAGTTTTCTATTGCTTGTATGTAGGCATAGTTAACTTTTCTCACCAGTACTAATCTGGATATAATCCTGAACTTTTTGCCAGTGTCGTAGATGTCGAAGCAGTGTTTGGGGAAAGTGATCTGTTGGCCAAGTGTGGCTGAGTGGACCAACTGAGCCCAAGCCTCATGTTTCCCACAAGTCTGTTGACTTTGTGGTTTTGTTACTTTTTTCTCATTTACCTCTGTCTTTACTACTTCTCTGCATTTTTGCGCAGCTTGCTCACTTCCGACAGAGAAAAACAAAAGGTGACTGTGTGCATTCGAAGAAAAAGACGGCGAAGAGGAAGGGCCCGGCTGTCGATGCGGCTGTCCAGGAGGAGAGTCCGCTAGTCACCCAGGATGAAGGGCTCCTCCAAGGAAACGACATTTGCAAAAGCACAGCATGCAGCAGCAGCCCAGACAGGGCCCAAGGGGCCTCTGCAACTCAGGTAGATTTACCCAGCATCATGTTTTAACATTGTACCTCTACTTAATATTTACTAAAAGTAGTTTTTGCCTCTCTAAAGCAGGAAAAGAGGGTTTTATTTTAATTAACAAAAGGTAAGTACATATTTTATTGTCTTATGCTTAATAAATGTTCTATTTTTATTATAAGATTTTTTTTGTTTTGTTTTGTTACTGGGGATCAAACTCAGGACCTTGAATTTATGAGGCAGGTCACGGCACCACTGAGCCAAATCCCCTGCCCAAGATTTTAAGAAATTTTGCATTGATTGCTTTATAGGCAGGTGTCATTTTGGCAGGTGCCATTTTGGTGTAGAAGTTTTACAAGTGTGAGTTCTTGGTGGCTGAATCAGCCCCTTTACCAGGTGTTGGACATTTAAAACCTAACACCTCTTCACCTACTTTCAAATGCACTTGTCATTTTTGCCCATTGCCTGCTTTCTGAAGGAGTGGAGGTATTACAGAAAAGGTGTATTGGTAATGGAGCTGGCCTCTTGCTGCCCAGGGTCTATGAGTTGTGTGGGGTTCATCCTGTGGCAGGTGAGGCAGGTGAGTGGGTGTTGAGAGTGCTGACAGTGTGGTCCTCCTGACCTCCCTGGGGCCTCCAGACCTGCCCTTCAATGAACTCTCCTTGAGACTTCTCATGTGTATTTCCATGAGAACCTTGAGTCTCAAGTGTGCCTGCTGTGTGCAGTTCAGGGGAGCAGGTTTAAGTATTCGCTGGGATGAGCTGATAAACTAAATTTTCCTGAAACTGGAAAAGATTCTGGAGAGTACAGTTTGGCTTAAAATCATGACATGTCTGGCTTGCCTTATTGAAAAAATGTAACTACTGCCAATATATAAAATGTGTGAAATTCTACCTACAAATCTGGAATTTTGCTTCTTTTGAGTGATACAAAACCTTGCCATCATGGTGCCCTCTGTGCCTTGGAGTGTCTGGATCCCTCTGGTAGCCATGCCTGTGCTTTCCTGCACCCAGGTCACCATGCGCTCCCTGACCTGTGGGCCTGGCATTGGTTGTCAGTTGCCGTTCATCATTGTCCTCTCTGTGTCCCTCAAGGTAGGGCAGCTGTTTTCATTGGCCTTAGCTGGCTGAGAGTAGAAGCTGTGTTGACTTTTATTAATGATTATTTTTCCTGAATAATTATTACAGTAGTGTTGGCCAAGTGCTGATATTTTATGTCCATCACTCTTTCTGCCTGTGTCATGGAAAAGAGGAACAGTTGCTTCTCCCAGTTTGCTTATGTTTATTAGAATGGACTCATACTGGACACCGTATGGATATTTATTTTATGGGCTTTCTGTTTGTTTTGAGACAGGGTCTTACTATGTAGTTCAGGCTGGACTTGAACAAACTATGCAGCCCAGGCTGGCCTCAAACTTGCAAAGATCCTCCTGCCTCAGCCTGCCAAGTGGTGGGATTACAGGTGTGCATCACAATGCCTGTCATATTTTGTTTTTGAGATAGATTTTGGTATGTAGTCCAGGCTGGCCTTGAACTTGAGATTATCCTCTGTCATCCTTCCAAGTGCTGGGATTTCAGTTGTGTACCACCAGGCCCAGCTTTAGTTTTCGTTCTTTCAATGATAAACTGATTAAACACAACACATGCACTTAATTTACCTGTCTGAATTTATTTTTATTTATTCATTTATTTTTTTCATTTTATTTATTTATTTACTTACTTATTTTTGGAGACAGGGTCTCACTGTGTAATTCAGGCTGGCCTTGAATTCACAGTGTTGCACAGGCTGGCCTTGAATTCATTGTAGTCCTCCTGCCTCAGCCTTGTTGGTGCTGGGATTACAGGTGTGCACCACCATACCTAGCTTCCTAAGTCTGAATTTAATGAACACCTTCACTCTCTTGAACAATAAGTAAATGGGTGTTAAAATAGTTACATTCCATTTATAACCTCCTCAATTTACTTGTGTTATGTGGTTGAGTTTTCTTAACTAGCAGGGTGTGATGGTACATGCCTGTAGTCCCAGCACTAAGAAGGCTGAAGCAGAAGGATATGGTAAGTTCAGGGCCAGCTTGAGTTACGTAGTGAGTTCAAGGCCAATCCTGAACTACATAGTGAGACCCTGACACACACACACACACACACACACACACACTCACGTTTCTTAACCTCACAGTCCACCCATCCATCCAGCTGTCTCTTTCAGTGAGCTTTATTTTGGATTAGTTACAGGTATGTGGGAAAGGTGTGCAGATAGTTCACATGGTTCCCAGGTTCCCTCCCAGCTCTATTTAGTTATGTCTAACACAGTCATTGTATATCTGTCAAAATTAAGG